CCCCAAAACCCCAAAACCCCAAAACCCCATGATTCAGGATTAAACTTTAAAGAGCAATTAAAAGATTTAAGAAATTAAGATAGTTTATAAGATTTAATTAGTCTGTCATATGCGATGCAGATTTATTGGGGCGTGTACTTCTTCCAAATTTTTTATTAGTAAAATAATAGCCTCTTTCAAATTTTCATCATCTGCTTATACCTCTCTAGTGCTTAACTAGATCATTGCTTGTTTTTCAGAATGTACAATAATGATGTTAGTCATTTCTTGGTCAATTTCTACCTAATCAAAATGATGTTTCATTATCATGAATAATTTCTGAACAAATTCATGGTAAGATCTTTCATCTCCAACTTGATCCATCAAATTTAGCAATTAAGGGGTAGGTTTTTCATTCACTTGCAATATAAGGAGACTAAGAGAATCAGCTATCAAATCACTTTTTGGGCTGGTAATCCAATCCATTTAAAGCATCTAAGCTCTCTAGAAATAGAGTAGCTATATATCCTCAACTCTGAATCTGACATCATATTTCTTATCTTCAGATTTAAACTTATTAACTTCTGCTTCGATATTAGAGTAATAGGAATGAAGATAGTAATTAAGTACTTGAATATCGTATTTGAAAGGAATAAAAAGAGTTTACTTCAGAGTTGACTTAGTTAAAGTTGTGTATTTATCTATCTCTGATTCATCCAAAATCAAATGATCAAAGTCTTACTTGATAAAGATACCATCAATAGTGACATAATTTGAGTCTTGCTAATCTTAATTTTATTAAGTTAAGGCTGTTGAAGTATCTATCATTTAAGCATCACTGTCCTAATTTTAAATTGACAATGGTCGATCAATCTGAGTAAGAGCCAAGTTGCTTGACTGATTTAGATTTTGGAGATTTTATACTGTTTGTCGAGCTAGCTATCCAATAATTTTTGCGGACTTTTTTGAAATAAGCTTCAGCCTCACTTATTGACAATTTTTAGGAGTCAAAACTTTAATTTTTTCCTTGTATCTTGATTGAAGATCGTTCTAAAGCTTTTTCATTTCATTTGCATCACCATGGACTAACACAATATTGGGAGGTTAAAGTTGTTTTATATATTCAGATGTGTGCTGATAATCAGCATGAGCTGAAAAAGATATATATTCTACTGATAACTTAAGCTCAACAGTCACATCATTCACAGTCAAAACTTTGGGTCTGTTCATTACATTTTTAGCAAGTGTACCCTCAACACTATAACCAGTGAATACAATGCCATTTTTTGGATCTGGTGACCATTTAACAAATAGATCTCTACTTTAACCATTTTGAAGCATACCTGGACTTGCCATGATTACTAATGGTAAATCGGATTCATCATTAAAGTTAGAAATAGGTTCAAACTTGAATGGGTTGTTTCCACTTTCTAACTCCATTCTTAACTAGTCTCCCATCATATTTCTGTAGGTTTGAAAAACAGTCAAAGATTTTTAAGCCAAACTACCTGAATAATAGATAGGTACTTTACTTATATCTGGATTCTTCTGCCAATGTTCATTAAGAATTAGTAGCAACTCTTGTGCTCTTCCAAGAGCGAAAACTGGTAAAAGACACTTGCCTCCTCTTTTAACAATTTCATGTACCAGTTTAGTAAATCTTTCCTCTCTTTTATCTCTTTGTTCATGAATTTATACTCCATAAGTGCTCTCAACAATCAAAACATCTACCTCACAATTAGGAAGCTCAGCTGGCTTTAAATGCCTATCTTCTTCTCTTGAGTAATCTCCAGTGTAGAGAATCTTCACACCATCGATCTCTATTAGGAACATAGATGCCCCGAGTACATGACCAGCTCTATAGCAACTAAATTTAATACCCTTCTCCTCAACTTCCTAATGATAATCAAGCATATAAATCTTATCCAAAGTATTTTTCAAGTCATTTTCATCAAATAGCTTCTCATCAATTGCAATATTGCTTACTTTGACAAAATCTTGCATTACGTAGTTGTATATAGACTTAGTTGGATGAGTCATGTAGACCTTACCCTTAAATTCAGTCTTTTCCAGAAAGTAAGGAAGACCAGCACAATGGTCTACATGGAAATGAGTAATGAGTATCAAGTCAAGTTCTTTTGGGTTAATGATATCAAAATAAGGAAGTGCTTAAACTCCATCTTTTCCAGGATGCAGTCCGCAGTCAAGCATGATTTTACTTCCTTTGCACTCAAGATAAATGCAAGACCTTCCTACCTCACATCCAGCTCCCAGAGGAGTGATCTCCAAGAAGTCTCCACTCTATGTTAAGATCTAATGAGATTAGATTTGTCTGGTTAATTATTACCCAAATTATCTTACGTCCATGATTATTAATATAATTATTATTAAATTATCTATTAATTTCAATTTTTAAAATGTCTTAAAAAGTAGTCCATATCGCTTTGCTAATAGCAGCTTTTATGTCTTTACAGATTAAAGAAGTTCAATCAAAAACAGTAGTTTGTAGACATAAATTCAGAGATGAAGATTTCAATTATTGTACTAAATTCGGCATGCCTGAGATAGGGAGAGCCACAGTGAATGTTAAAACTAGATTTACCTCAACTCATAAAAAAGCAGAGGATAATATTGAAATTGCAATAGGGATTTTTAAAGATTTCTAGTGGGAGTAGGTTGCTGATAATAAGAAAATAGCATGCGACGTAAAGGCAAGGGAAGCTTATTAGACACTCCCTATATTGGTTCCAGTAGATGGCTCATATAGCTAAAACTTTCAAATAAATATAACCAATCAATTGATTCCCAGAATATTCTACTTTGCAGCCATGGACTGCAATCACCTCACACATTCCAAATCAAAACACATGCCGAAAATAGAGATGGAGTTTGAGATATTTTTGAATGTAGGTGATTCCTATGATCATTTTTCTTATGAAGAAGAAGGTACTTTACAGCTTCATCTAGTTTTGCTAGTTCTTTTCGCATTGATATTCGGTCTTACTGTATACAGCTACTATTAGTACCAAAAGTAATTTGAAAGATATGACTCACCACACTTTATTATGGCTTTAGCCTTATTCTTCTAGATGAGTGGAATATTTATGCAAACTCTACATCTTTGGATGTACTCTCATAATGGCAGAGGCATACCTATATTTGATATATTTGGCTTAATTGGGTGTATGATGTCAGAGATAAGCGTGTCTTGTCTTTTTATGATGATCGCTCATGGTTGGACTTTGATCTATCAAGACTTAGATTTCGATAATAACTTAGAGATATACTTGCCTGTTGGATCAATTGTGGTAGCAGTTCATTTAGTGCTTGCTGCAATGACCTACGTCGATCTGGATGCTCATCATAAATATCATGACTTTGCTGGAGTTTAAGGCTGGGTTCTTATCTTATTTAAGGTTGGTTTATTCGCTTACTATATCTATTGCGTTTGTCAGAATATTGAAAAGATCCCCAAGAAGTCCACCCGATTCCATAGAGTTTTCACATTACTTGGCTGCGTTTACATGCTAAATGTACCCTTAACAATTATAGCTTGTTATTTCTTCCAGCCCTATAACAGACAATTTTTATACACAATGAGTACAAATGTAGTTTAAGCTATAACTCTAGGAAGTATGCTATAGTAGCAAAGTTCTAATAAATCTGGTTACAAAAAAGCCAGCATGGAATCTGACGGTATTTTACCTATGAATAAGTTTGAATGATAGGGTAGTCAGATTATTTAACATCAAGACCATAATCAATGCATAATATATATAGCGATTGTTCATTTAATGTTTAATCTCAATCTTTAAACATGGGGTTTTGGGGTTTTGGGGTTTTGGGGTCTTTTA